ATTCCTGGAAACATGATTATTCAAGATATTGAATGAATTTGTAAAGCATTATTTTTCAGCACTCAATCTTAGTATATAGAGTCCATTCCTTATCTCAGCTGAACCAATCTTCGTGTTGTTCTTGTTATCCTGTATAAAACAAGAAATTGAATGAAAAAAAAAATTGTAATCATTATCAGTAGCAAGCTTCGAAACGGATATGATATTGTATGGGAAGCCAAGAATATAGAGTACGTTTGAAATAACTATTCTATCATTCAATTTCACAGTTCCTATATGAGTGGCATAAGTGCACTTCCCATTAGGAAGATTAACCATAACAGATTTGATTTGCTTTTGGTAAAGAAAATTGGATAAGGAACAAGATACATGATCCGTAGCATCGGAGTCAAGTATCCAAGGACTAAATTTACCATTGATATTATTAATAGTTGGATGGATATTACCTTCATTTTTGCTTAACATGTTTTGTGAAGTCAGAGAGCACATAGTAGGTTGGACCATGGATGCATTAGTTTTGATTCCTGATTGCTGAATTAATGTCATGAGAGCTTGATACTGTGGCTGAGACAGTCTCACTTCTTGATTATCAGGGGATTCTTCTTTTGGTACCTCAATGTGATTAATGTTGTTCTTGGCGTTCGAGAATTTATGTCCCGGTGGGTAGCCATGTTTCTTATAGTAGATATCTATAGTATGTCCAGTTCTCCCATAGTGTGTGCATATTTTCTTATTCTTTTCGTTCTTGGTATCTTGGTTATTAGGAAAACCATGCTTCTTATAACACACAACTTTTGTATGTCTAGTGTGTCCGCAAAATCTGCAATTGTTTGAACTAATGTTGTTAATTCTAGAATCAAGATTCGAAGATTATTACCCAGTAATTGTCTTTCTTGATGCACAACGTAAGAGAATATCTTGGACAAGGGAGGAATGGGATCCATGAGAAGGACATGGGACTTAATTCTTGTGTATTGTTCATTTAAGCCTATGAGGAATTGCATTGCTTGGTCTTCCCTTTTTCTCTGAGCAATGATGTTGAAGGCAGCACAAAAACATTTAATACCGCAAATGCATATGGGATCGGGTCTGAAATTATCAATTTCATCCCATATAACTCTAAGTTTTGTGAAGAACTCGGTAATTGAAAGATCTCCTTGATTAAGCGTTGAGGCATCCATTTGCAAGTTTGAAATGTGAAGCATATTTTCCTGGCAGTATTGAGACCTTAGATCAACCCAAATTTCTTCAACCTTATCCATCCATAATATACTTTGTCGAATGGACGGGGATACAGAATTCACAATCCAAGAAACAACCATATTGTTGCACCTCTTCCATGCAAGATAAGACGGGTCATTCTTGTCAGGTTCCGATGCAGTTCCATCCACAAATTCCAGTTTTTTTTTCGCACTTAATATTGTTATCATTGAACGACACCAAGAATGATAGTTATTCATATCAAGAACGGGAGAAACAAGACTAGTAGCAGGATTTTCACTGGAATGTATGTACAGGTAATCTTCCATAATTGGAATTTGACGAACGACTTCTTCTTTTTCTTCCATCAAATAAGAAATGGTGCAAAAGAGGAAATGAAGAGGATGAGTACATAGTAGAACTCTTCAAATGAAGAGCTCTGATACCATATCAGAGATCATGCTTTCCGCAAAGAATACGTGGCTTGGAGCATCCATTGCAGATTCACGAATGAAGGAGATAGTGAACAGTGTTTGGGAACAAAAAACAGAGCAAATTGGGAAGGAGAAAGAGAAGAAATGAAAAACGGGGAAATGTTTATTTTTTTATATATTAATCAATGAAACATAAGAGTTATATATAGAGTTGAAACAAAGTGCAAAACAGAAAAATAAAAAACCCACGCTTAAGCGAGAACAAAGACGCGCTAAGCGCTGCGACACAGAAAACTACATGCAAACCATGCAGTACGGACGTCTGGTTTTCAACATCATATGTGTCTAATTGTTGTCAATGTCGGTTGAGTGTATTAAAATACTTAGTGAATAAAAAATCACCTTGTTGCAGTTCATGGAGTATGCTCTTGATCTCAAATATCGCAAACGTATTGTCCACATTTGAGTAAGTTTCCTTCACTGCATTCCACATATCCTTGGCAATGTCATAGTACATGAAGTTCTCCCCAATTTCATTGGTCATGGTGTTGAGTAACCATGACATGACTAAATTGTTTTCTAATTGTCATTTGTTGAGGTTAGGATCACCCTCTACTGGACACTTGGAGTCTCCGGTGATGTAATCTTCCTTTCTTTTTCCTTGAAGGAAGATTTTATGACTTAGGAAGAGCAGGTCCTTCGACCTAACTTGTGGTCAAACCTCCTGCCTTGTTCTTTTATACCATGCGAAAAATACGTTGTGTATTTCTTATTTTGAAAAAGATACAAAGGGGGTATAAATAGAATACAAGATAATAAACCTATACACTAATTTATCCTTGAAAATTAGGGAAATATTCTTCATATAAATGTTGTACATAACTGTATATAAATAACAAAATAAAATTAATTATATTATCATTAAATTCTATCATAATTGAATTATTCTAATTGACAAGATCTGATCTCTAACATTTTTTATAGGATATTTTAAATCAATCACTATAAACACTTCAATTATAGATGTTTATAACGTGTGTTTAATTGAAAAAAAAACTAAAAGAAGTATTATCTAATATTTCTAGTAGGATATATTTGACTTTTGATAAATGGACAATTATAACTCCTTAAGACTACATAGTTATAACAACTTATTTTTATGATTTTATACATTTGATTTTATTTTGATTGAATAGATTATGAGTTAATTTTAATTAAACAAATAAATGACATTTTTTTTCAAATAAAATTACAAAAAAATTATATCATTATTTTTAATTAGGTAAAAAATGACCAATTAGCCCGTTGGCCTAACATAGGTCAAAATTAATTTTTTTTACTTGGTTCATGGGACTAGGCTAGGACAAGTTGGGCCGCCCATTTTGACCTTTAATGGAAAGGTGATCCAAACTCCATAAATTTGTATAAGTTGGAAGTATTAAAGCTTTGGTTTTTAGTTAAATGTTGGTTGTTTAAAGAGATACTAGGAGTGTTTAAAACATGGTATTAAAAGGTGTTTCAAAATGGACTCTCCCACACAAGTTTAAGAAGAAAAAATAAATAAACATTTTTCATTTAAGGCTTTAGAAAGGATTAATAAATAATTAAGGATTGAAAGCTCAATTGTTAATTTGGAATGGAAGAACCCTCATTTGGGATGAAGATTTTGAGATTGGTTAAAGAGACAACCTTCCATATATAGTTTAACTTCTACTTTAAGGTAGATTGAGACCAAATTGATAATTAAATCCTCATCTCTACCAACTTCATGGCCATGGGAAAATCTCAATGCATCTAAAAATGCACTATCTCAAGCTAACATGAATATTAGGTGACATCACAAAATTCATCTAGAAAAAAGTTGTTAAATGTTAGGCAACATCATATACAGAAAACCATTATAAGAATATCATTTTCAACCTTCAACATGACATTAATTTAGTAGTTTGTGTGCCAACAAAAATTTGCATCCAATTGAATGTATCATTATTAATTTCAAAGCTATCAACCATCAATTTAAGCACATGAATACCTTTTCACCAATAATGCACTAATGTGAAATGCCAATTTTTTCCTCAATATTTTTTGCATTATTTGGTTCTCTACGTTCTACTGGACTCAAATTTCCTCAAGAATGTACTCAACAATTAATTCTTATATCGAGAAGTACACTTGGCTTACATTCAATTTTTTTTCTTTCAAAACTATTTTAGATCATTCAATTTCATTTACATTTTTCAAAGAAGTAGCCTACAATAAAAAAACTATATAAATGTACTAGTATTTAATGTTTATCGGAACTTACGATTGAAATTCTTAAAAAATAATAATAAACGTTTTGTTAAAATATTATTATTTATTCAGTTAATCTTATAATCAACTTTTCTTATAACTACTGTAAATTACTTCATGCGAACTGAAACAAAAGCTAAAAAAGAATTTATACTTTATTTCAAGAAACCAACAACGAATAATATCAACCTGGAAAGGAAAAAGTGTAAATGAAAGAAAAACAAATTTACACAAGTAAAAAGCACATATTTTTATTTACTTTTTTTTCAATTAAATTAATCTCGTAATATAAAGATTTATGAAAAAGATTTCACACCTCTCTGCGTATCTCTCAACATATATTCTTGTACAGGTTAAATTATATTAACTTTTAAAACTTATGTATGAACTCTTAATTTTCAAAAACATATTTTAATTTCTTAAATTTAAAATTATTCAATTTTCTATTTAGGAATTGGAAACAGTTTTAAAAAATTGATTTTAGTTTTTCAAATTATAATACTTAAAGATTAAAAAGTACTTTCTTTAAATTTGAGAAATTCAAATAGTTATTCAAATTTTGAAAATTTAAAACGAATTATCTCAAATTTTAGGAAATATAATATATATATAATATAAATTTTAAGATCAAATCCTAATTATATACATAAAATATAATTATCTGTTTATAATATTCCCAACGTATCATTGTTTTATTTTGAACATCATTCTATTAAAAATTACGTCACATTATACATTAACAAAGACTTCCAAAGAAAACAATTATTTTTTTATTTCTTTTAATATTAGAGTCAATTTAGTCTCTGCTGTATTAAGTTTTTTCCATTTTTTCTTTTTTTTTTTAATCATAAATGTGGGACCAGTTAATATGGTCATGATTTTGAAGGAGGAAAGGACATAATTACCCTTTTAGTCGATGCTTTTTATGTAAAATATTTCCAAAGATCAGAGTCAGAGACAGACACAAAGTGTCCCACGTTTTTGATTTGCAAGTTGTGACTCTCTGCTTAAGACAACCGATTTCGTTCGCCGGAAAACCGACATTTGATCTCTCTCTCCGCCGATCCCTCCGCTATGGGTTCCGCCGAGCTCCTCCACATACAGCCTCAGGAGCTTCAGTTTCCCTGTGAGCCTGTTCAGATTCAATAGAGTTTTTCTTTTCTCTGCAAAATTAAAATATTTGTCTTTTGTCTTTGGTTCCTGCTTCTGGGTTTTGTTCTAATTTTTTTTGTTTAAATTTTCTGGGTTTGGGGTTTCTGAAAATAGTTGAATTGAGGAAGCAGATCTCATGCTCTTTGCAGTTATCTAACAAGACAGACAACTATGTGGCTTTCAAGGTTCCAGTTTTAGTCTTTGTGTTCCTTTTCTAACTTACTTCTTATGTTTTTTTTTTTTTAATTCATTTTCATCTTTTTTTAGCGTACGGTCTTTTTTTCTTCTTCTTCTTCTTTGTGTGGAAAGTTTTAATTTTGATTTGGCGTGAAATTCATGATTTTGCAGGTTAAGACAACAAATCCGAAGAAATACTGTGTTAGACCTAACACTGGAGTTGTGATGCCTAGGTCTACATGTGATATCATAGGTTTCTTTTTCTCGCTCTTTCTGTCTTCCCTTGCTCATCTTCATCCTCCCTCTTCCACACAAGCACAATTGCATGCTAAGAGAATCTTCTTTTACTTGATTTGGTGTGGCACTTGGTTATATATGTTTAACTATTTTAAATTTGTAATTTTTTGGGTTAAGTTTTGCTATAGCCTATCGATTTATTGATTTTTATGTTTTTTTCCCATTTTTCTGAGCCATAATTATTTTGGATAAATAATATTTGCCCTGGCATTGCTTACCAATCACTAATCCCATGGTAAGTTAAGTTTGTTTGACTCTCATAATAACTTTCTTGAAAATCATAGCAATGATGATTTGTAAATGCTGAATAATATAAAATCCTTTACAGTGACAGTGTATGCTTAAAATCCATACTATTTAGTCATTTTTCTTTCTATGCATTGATTGTTAGTGTCTTATTTATGTTTTCAGTAACAATGCAAGCACAAAAGGAGGCACCCCCTGACATGCAATGCAAGGATAAGTTTCTCCTTCAGAGTGTAGTTGCAAGCCCTGGTGCAACCACAAAAGATATCACTCCAGAAATGGTATCCATTTAACAAACTAAATTTTTTTTTCTTGATAGAATACCTACATGTGTGACATGGTGCTTAATTTGATGGTTTTCTTGTGCTCATTTATATAGTTCAATAAAGAATCTGGTCATGATGTTGAAGAGTTAAAGTTGAGAGTTGTTTATGTTGCTCCTCCTCGACATCCATCCCCAGTTCGAGAAGGATCTGATGAAGATTCGTCACCTCGTGCTTCTGTATCTGAAAATGGGCATTCAAATGCCTTGGAATTTACTGCGGTATGTAACCAATGGGTTTACAAATATTTTCAAACAATTTTTCATCTTTTTGGTTAGCTAATTGTTGTGGCCATGCACGGTAGGCTTCAAAAGCTTTCAATGAGCGGGGTGAACATCAGGACAGTTCTTATGAGGTAATATACACAATATTAACATTATAATGTTTATCGTTCTGTTATGGAACATAATACATTTAATTTGGGAAAAGCTAATGCTTTTTGTTGGTTGTTACCCCAACCCAAACATGCCTGCAGTCACATCTCCTTTTGACCTCAAACCAAAAGGACCAGTTTGCATGTTGTTGTAGAAATATCAATCATCAAATATCATGATAACTCTAATTTAGTTTGTAGATGTTGGAAGTACCGTTCACATGTTTTTGAAATGTTTAAATTTCTTAACTTTGGTGCATATGCATTGATTTATTATCATATCACTGTTTTGGCGTTTTAACGGTAATCTTTCTTTCATATCCTTGTGTTGCTCTAATTTTCTTTGGAAATGCTACTGAAGATAAACTGTTTGAAGTGGATTGATTCAAGTCATTTATTTGCATTGATAACTCTATTATTATCATCAAAGAAGTTGTTGCAACTGCGACAAAGAGAAAGTTTTGGATCACTTTTAGTGATATATGAATAAAAGGAAATGATGCTCATTTTGAACTTGTTTTTGTTTCAGGCAAGAACTCATATTTCAAAGGTAACCGAGGAGAGGAATTCTGTTATTGAGCAAAACAAAAGACTTCAGCAAGAACTGGTATGGGATTCATTCTGAAAAAAAAAAAATCTTTTAATCCTGCTTATACGTGTTGTTGAATATTTCTACTTTCTTTGGATGATGATCTTGATGTTATCCTATGATGGCATACTTTTTTGATGCTTTTAATTGTTTTCTCATGCTATGTTATGTATGCAATTATTAATAAAATGAACCGAACTGAATTCAATATCCATCTCACTATGTCTGAATTTACACTTTGGGAAGGATTAGTTAATATTAGTCATGTGTTCATGAATCCAAGTGTATCGGAATATCTTAAAATCCATGTCTGATTTTGAGTGATTAGTGATCAGGAAAATAGAAGCAGGGGAACCAAAAGGAAATTGTTCCATTTTCTGTTTCTAAACTAATTTAGTTTTCATCAAAATAAATAGTAAACTAAGTATAGCAGTATGGTTGTTGGATAGTTTTTGAAAATCAACCCTGAAAAAACTAATGAACATCCTGAAATTATCTACCTCCTTAATCAATCTCCTTACATTTTGCTTATAGTTTTATATGCCTAGCTATTTTATCTCCTACCATAGAAATAAAAAGGAGAATTGTTTAGTATTACTATATGTTTTGAAATCATAGCAGGAAGGTGGGACTTGTTCAATGCCTAATATGTTTTAAATCTTTTGATTGCTAAGCAAGGATCCATGATACCTGTTTGGTCCTATATGTTCTTGATTTTATCGATGTTCTTCTCTTCTGAACACTTCAGAGTTCAGATTTTTTTTCACTCTCATAATAGATACCTGATTTGCCAAGCACATGGAATTAACTTTTTTCTACTGGGCCACATGCTTCAATGTAACAATTTTTCTGCTGTGCCAAGCACATAGATAATTCTACTCAAGTTCAAAAAAACACATCGTAGACAAGTTTCCCCAAGATTGTAAATTGATGAAGAAGTCAATAATTACATCATATGAAAATTATCTGCATTTTATATAGTCATTGAAAATTATGAATTGGCTTGGAATCTTCCATGACAGGAGCTTTTGAGGCGTGAAGGCAGCAGTAGCCGCGGGGGTATACCATTCATGTATGTAGTTCTTGTTGGCATCATTGGCATCATTTTGGGTTTCCTATTGAAGAGGACGTGACCTGAGTGATTGACAGCAATGAGATCAATTGTAGAAAGCAACAAGAAATATGTGAAATGTGGAAAAAACAAACCAAAATTGTTGTCTTATTGTCGTGTATTGCTCCTACAAATTTGGAATGTGTGGTCAAAAATAGGTACTTGTTATCAGCCATAGCAATCATAGACAGTGGACACATTTGTATCATGGAACTGTATTGGTATCTGATGTTCTACATGTGATTAATTTTTTACCACTACCTTTTCCCGCCTCCCCTTAGTCATGGCACCGAATAGTGCCCTTCAATATTTTTAAGGTACAAAAAAAAGTCTTTATTTATGGCAACACAAAATCATTTTTTGCTTGAGAAACTAAAATCTATGACTAATCAATCAATCAAGCTTCTTGGAAATGAAAAGGTAATGTGGGATTTTTTTTATAAAATTTTTAGTTATTTATCACATTAGATTATCTAATAATAGTAGTATGATTTTTTTTAATTCAGTAAAACTTTTTTTTCTAATTTGGAAAAGTTATATTCTCTCATTCATTTCTAATAATTTTAGATTATAAAAATATATCAAACATGATTTAAACACTTTTCTTTTTATTCAAATTCTTATAAAAATAAAATTTTCTTATACTAAATATATTTTTTTCGTTTTCCTTTTTTTAGTTAATTTATATTCTTTAGTTAACCCTTTGATATAGTTGAAGAAGTGTCAGGACAATGATTTTATTTATGTTGAGTAAAAAAAGTAACATATTTTTTGGTACGAAATTTGGGATTTTTATCCAAGCCTTTATGTTTATTTTAAATAAATTTCAAGATTTAATGGAATTGTTTTGCCTTTCCAAAAAAATTTACAAATTTAACTTTTTGCAAGTGAAAAAAAAATCAAATGGATTTTTGTAAATGAAACTAGTGTAGTGTGTTATTCTCTATTTTATAACTGAATAAATGAAAAGAAATAGTTTAAGAGTTTACCACCCATATTATATATTTTATATAAGTTTAGTTATATTTAAGCCACTAATTTAAATTATACATAATTGCAGTTTCTCAAGTTATGTTATTCAATTATGTTCTTCTACTTCTAATCTATAGTAAGTAACTCTGATTTCTATTGACTTTCTTTTACCTAAGATCCTTAAATTCTCATCTCTTAAATTTTCAAAATTAAATTTTCTTACACATAAAATTCACAGATCAAGACTTAAAAAATAAAATTGTCCATATAGAATTATTTTACAATTTTCCTTCTTCAAATCTGAATCTTACATCATATATAATTCTTCAAAAAATAAATAAATAAATTCCACCACATTTCTGTTTTAAAACAATTTCAGACCTCAAATCCTCCAATGTTCAAATATTTGAATAAAAAATAATTTAAGGGTTTTAGAAGGAAGAGAATCACCCCGTTGCAAACTCACATGTTTTTTTTTTTTTAAGTAGAATTACTAAATTGATTTATTTTTATTTTTGAAAGAGTCTACCATTATATAATCAAAATTAAAGATATCAAAATAAGAAAGAGTTAGGTAAAAAAAAATATTATCTTCATTTATTGACTGAGTTAAAGACAGAGTAAATAAATAATGAAAAACATAAAAATAAATATCTATATTAATTAAAAAATATATTTAACTCAAAAAATTAATTGTTTTATATTATTATTTTATGACAATTATTTTTTATTTTTAAAAGATTGTTCTAAAATATAAAAATATTTTCATTTCAAATATATAAATGTTAAAACTCAGATTCAAATGCCAATACGTTGCATAAGGGGAAGAATGATAAGATACGACCAACGTTTGAGTGAGTAAAAAAATGTTAATATATATATATATATATATATATATATATATATATATATATATATATATATTTGTAATTTTTAAATTTCTCATTTATTAAAATATTTTAATGATAATTTATTTAGAAGAACTGATACTTTATCATATCATTGAGCTCAAAAAAGGAATATTAAGATAAGAATAAAAAAAATATCATTTAGATATTCCTTAAATAAAAGGAAAGTATATTCTTCTATCTCTTATGTTATAGCTAGTGATTTTGCTATGAAGATATCATAAAAAAACTTATAATATGTGTATTTTTATTTTTAAGGTAAGAGATGACAATTTTACATAGTAGGAATTTTTAAAAAAAATAATAATCAACAATATAGGAATAAAACCATGTTATTTATAGTTTATATTTCTTACATTTTAAGGTCACAAGTGTTCATCTTTCTTGTGTATAAGAGGGTTTCAGAAAATATCTTGTTTCTTTTCTCCTTCTTTTTCAGTAACCATCTAAAGTAATAATTATTTTTCAGTTATGTTTTGTTTTAATGCTTAATGTGTCAAAAAATTTCCCATTATTTCGGGTCAAGTTCGAATACCCAGAAGCTTTGATAAGTTTTCAAATAAAACCTTGAAAGGAAAGAACCATTTTCTCTTAGCAAACCTCCACAACTTGCAACTCCTGAATAACCCCCCACATACTTTTCCACAGTAACTTCGCATGCCCATTAGGGAAAATCTACAAAGAATTCAATATATTTGACAAAGGTTTCATTATGTCAACTAATTAAATTGTCTTATCCAAAATTCAAACTAAACAATTTGAATTAAAAATAAATAAATTTAATATATTTTAATTGCCTTAAAATGGTAATTTTTGTTTATCCAAATTCAGACTGTAGTTGTGAAATCCAGAAATGAGAAAAAAAAAACATTATCGTCTTTTTCGTATATATTCAAATTTTCTCATACAACCGGTTTTTAATTATAGATATAAATTTGAGTTGGACAATGATAAAAAAAAGTTTAGTATTAGTATTTTTACCTTTAAATAATATAAAAAAAATTGAACATAAAATATTCATAAAAATTTGAATGATTCAACTTTAGAATATTAAAATATTAGATTATGAGTTTTTTCATTTATAAAATATTTAATGTTTTCATTTTCATTTTCATTTTCATTTTCATTTTCATCTAATATAAAACTTCTCTTAAATTTTTAATATATATATATATATAGATAGAGATATATTGTACAAGTTGATATTCCTTAATAATAAAAACAAAAATCACAAGCAAACAAACTGAAAAAACATACTCCTAGGTGGAGGAATAACCACATAAGAAGCATGGACCACACGGATACTAAACTGGTAGGCCATAGAACATGCATGGGAGACTCAAGACAAGACATGCAACGAAGACATGCACTGTCTGAAGTCTTGCCTCTTCTCATCTTATCATTGATGAGAAGCTTATCATAAGACACCTGCCAAAGGATCATTTGAATTTTTCTTAGGACTTGGTCGGGTCATTTCCAATTGAGGCTAAAATGGAGCAAGAGAGATGGAATAAATTGAGCTAATCCAGTCGTAACAAGATCATACACAAACCTGAGAGTTCTTCATCTGATGAATACTTTTGGCACTAGCAGGGAAACTCATCAACTAACTTGATTTAGAGATGACAGAAAGTATATATGTTCTGTCACTTTTTAAGATCAATTTAGAAACTGAGTTACACACAGGGTTTGCATAAGATCACTTTCGGATTAAACTATGCAAACTGAGTTCCCAAAAGTAACACAAATCTTACTTCTGTTAAACTGAGTTTTCAAGTAAAATTCAGTATAATGCAAAAACAAACATGTCACAGAGCTAAATTTACTTTTCAGATATTGAATTCGGAACACTCCATGGAAAATCAGACATATCCCAAGTCTTCCACACCGCCAAACACAATCTAGGGACATGAGCCAAAACGAGATGTGATGTCCATTTTACGCAACTACCAAAAGATTCCTTCCAGTATATATACTTTTGCATGTTTCAAAGGCCTTCCTGGTTGTTTTCACGTACAAGTTCATCAGGCATGACAACATTTTCACATATATATTTTACTTTCAGGATTCTAATCTAAGTAGCGATTGAATTCTTCATTAGCATCAATCATCCTAACTTCACCATATAGGCTTCGTTCAGCATCCTTCTCAATTTCAAATCTAGATCACTTTCCTTTTCTGGAGTGCAGATTTTTTCACAAGAAATACACTTCCTTTCTTATCATTACATATGTCGTACTAGGGACATGAAGATATAGATAAGGCAGAAGAAGATTTTTAGAAATGTATTATTGATGAACCTGTTAAAATAGTATATAGAAGGAAATTCAATTTTCATATTATATTTGATAAATGTAAATTCAAGTTTATTTAAATTAATTTAGTTGTTATAGTATTTTTACTAAATAACTAAAATGTTTTTTAAAATTAAATTATTAACTTTCAGTTGTTAATAGTTTGGTTAAACAGAAGAAAAAGTTGTTATGATTTTGATTAAGCTTTTTTTATGTATTATTTTTTATTTTTTTAATTATTTTTGCCTATAAAGTTCTATTTTTTTTATCCTGTAGCATGATGACAACTCATTATATATTTTTATGTTACTTTTAATATATTTATTATTTGTTGAAATTTTCTTATTTATACGATATTAATCTTTAAAAAATAAAAAATAAGTCATGTTATAAATATTTAGTTTTGTTAGCCTAATTAAAGTTGTTTACTAAGACTTTAAAACATTAGATATCATAGGCTAAACTTTAAACACGTCGTACTTAAAAAAAAAATATAGTTTGAAACTCAATAACAATTATATAGTAACCTATTTCCATCTTACCGTATAAATATATATTTTATATAAGAACGAGAGTATTTTAATCTTATCCATTATAATAATATTATTATAATTATTATATATTTAAGATATTATTTTTGAAATTCTAATACATTATAATTTTATTTTTAAAATACGTATTAATAGATTAAAAAAAGATTATATATATATATATATATATATATATATATAAATTATTTTTTAACTTCTAGAAGGTATAATATCATAATAATGGATATACATCAGTAATATGATTTTTTTTTTTAATATCTCTTTTACTTACTAGTCAAATTTTTATATTAAATATGA